ATGAGTTTCTACAGTGTTTATTTTAGTAAAACAAGTCTGTTTGTTGCTTGAGCTGATGAGTGATGTCACAATGGATTGACCGCCCCTGTAATGTCAGTGGGCAAGTTATGCCTGAGGTTAACATATTAACGACTAGTCCGGGAATGATATAAGACAGTTTTAATACGTCTTCTGCCTAATGAATGTGCACCCTCTTTTTCACGATAGAATTAATATGAAATTTCCAGATTCCGTTTTGGTGGTATTAAAAAGTATGCAAAAGATAAAATTAAAGAGAAACTGGAAACAAAAGCAAAATAATTTTAATGAAAATATGATGAATGTCTAATATTGCAAAGAATTATCAACAAAAAGTGTAGTTCAAGTTCAATTAAAGAACAAAGAACACAAATGCATCTAAGAATAATATGTCAAGTAGAATAACTACGAAGGGCATATGTAGACGGCATAAAATGTTGGCTAAGCATATATGACTGTTATAAAGAAGACTTATAAGTCAATATGTTCTCAAAACAGTATACCGGTGGTATCGTAATCTAGAGTCTGTTTAATTTGGCATTAAAATCAGCCCCTTTTCATGACATTGCAATCCCCTCCTCGGAAATGTTCATTAAAATAAATACGATCGCATTGTTACTATGATATTATCCATCCTAATGCCATCTTCTTAAAAAAAAAGTTGCCCTTATGAAAGCCTTGCAAAATCAGAAATGACGGGGTATAAAAAAAACAAAGAACGAATTTGTCCGGAGGATTCTAATGTTGATTACTTTATTAATAAAAACGAAGAAGGGAAAAGTGCACAGAAACGTTTTCAGAAATGGAATATAAAAACAAAATAAAAGTGAATACTTAAGTGTTCATAATTCGTAACGGTGTTAAGTATTAACCTTCCGTACACCATACGCTCCGTTCTAAAGCTAACCAACGAGAAGGAATTATATTATGTAATCAACTTACAGCTGGAATCTAGAAATCTACACACACTTGAAATGTTATGCAATGATGCAGTGCTCTGATTAAATTATTACTATAAAGAAGACGATATATATATATATATATATATATATATATATATATATATATATATATATATATATATATATATATATATATGTACGTCACTGTAAATTAAGTATTAATTTCATTCATGAATAATTGTTCATTCTGTGATGTGATTCAAAGGATGTATATAATGTCATATGATACAGTCAATTTCACTCGGATTCAGTCCCCTCACAAAAATATTCTCGCCCAATCAAATGAATTCATCTTCGTCAGTTCAGATGTGTTACCAAAGTATTCAGAAACCAAACTACACGAAAATATACGCAATGCAGCTTGTACGCACCAATATATCTCTTATATTATCAGGATAGTCTTCAAAGTGATTATGATGACAAATGCAAAGAACGTTACTATTGGCAGCAATAAGCCTTCGTATGAAACTATAATTCTGATATCTGCAAAAAAGCACACTTACATTATTAGAGTGGAAAAATTATTTGAGAACTTACTGACATCATTTTAAAAAAATAAGAACTGTTGCAAAAGGTGTCTGTCTAATATAAGATATTACTAGTTTATATATATATATATATATATATATATATATATATATATATATATATATATATATATATATATATATATATATATATATATATATATATATATTGTGGAAAGTGAAAATTTCTAAAGTCAACAAACAAAATTTCTTACTTTTTGATTCGTACTGACGAGCTTCTGTTAAGGAGCAAAGAAAACCAACCAAACAACCAATATAGATACACGACTGACAACTCACGATGGACAGACGACGGACCTAGGGTTACACGAACAATAAAACTTAGTAAAGCAGTCAGAAAAGCAGAAATATATGAGAAACGGAGATTGACATTTTGCATACCTTTCTAAAACCTGTAGGTTGATCAACAATGTCCGTAGATCCGTTAGTCATTTTTCCTCGTCGTTTTGCGGCTGGTTAGTAATAACGTATTCCTTTCTGGTTTGTTTCAACTCATTTGAAAACTCGCTGTATACCTGTTCGGTGCATAAATGAACATAACTCCCCAACGCTTTACAGACAGTATTTACGTGAACATTTGATGGATCGTTGTATTTCAAAAATAGGGCTGGCACGTTACGTGAACATTTGATGGATCGTTGTATTTCAAAAATAGGGCTGGCACGTTAATGACACAATGGAAGGATTTATCTATTCTGACAATGTGCTCCATTTCGTCATTTCTATAAGCCTTGACGTAACTACCCAATAGGCATATGATGTCCTGCAGTCAAGTGATCGAAGCTACTGTCAAACGAGAGATTTACTCCTGTATTGCAAATCAATAATCTCTACCTTTGTACAAGCTGCAAATAGTGCACGTTCCCAACTACGTCCCAAGATTATCTGACACTAGTCGATTACGGTATTTTGTACACATCCAAGAAATAGGTTGTCAACAAAGTTCTCAACACGCCTGTTTACAAATTTAAAGTCAATAGGTTTTTAAATTCAATCTTACTCGATGATTTGATTGCCCAATTGTTCAAACGCTTCACCATCCATGGAATAATGTTGGAAAGTTCCATTAACAAATACAGTTCTCTCTCTCTCTCTCTCTCTCTCTCTCTCTCTCTCTCTCTCTCTCTCTCTCTCTCTCTCTCTCTCTCTCTCTCTCTCTCTCTCTCTCTCTCTCTCTCTCTCTCTCTCTCTCTCGACTTCTTTAACATTGTTGGGAAAGATACACTTCCTAGGGAAAATATTCTTCAACATTCAAACCTCGCAATTGCATGTTTGCAATCCAGCAGTTTCTCGCTAGATCCATATAAGCTCAGCAGTATACGAACGGGATGGTGGACGATGAGAATTACCTCGGGCGCAAGATATCTTGGGGCGCCAAAACATCTTATAAAAATTAAATTGCATGAAAATGTTTGACGGGACCAACATCATCCCCTCGGGCGCCATTTTCACATACTACGGTACTGAAAATACTAAACTATTCTGTTATTGTATTATGTCTGCATTTACTGTTTTCGATGTCATGATTTCCTAAATTTTCAACATACCAGTTAACGAAATAAATTGCAATGCACATGTGAGTAGCATTGTAAACAACAAATATTATCATCCATCCTTTTTGGGGAGAACAGGTTGTGCTATGTGTTTGCTTATTGTTGTTTTTGGCTTCGTTGTTGTTGTTATTGTTTTAAAGCAAAGATAATTAGCCAGACAAGTAGCAAAATCTGTTAGTTCAGTCGATTCCATATTGAAAAATTAAAAAGTCGAGTTCAAGACTTTGAACAAATAATATTTCCTGCTTTTTTCTTTTTGACAATCCAAAAATAATTTGGATATATCCGTGGCTTTATTTATCTCCGTGACGATTTGTTATTTCAAAGCATCACATTTTCTGCATTGGGTTCATTTGACTATGCATTTTTCTCTGTTCCATATCTGACATTTTATGCCTAAAATATTTCATAATTTTTAAACGAAAAGATTAACTTCGATTTTTTAAAAAGCCTGTTAGGTTGAAGCATCTATTAATCTCATCTCATTAAGTTTATGTTCTCCGTGGCAAACACGAATTCTCAAAATTTATTCAACGCTCGTTCCAGAATATATGAGTATAGCTGAAAGACAATGAAATAAAGAAAGCACAGCTATTTATGAACGAGAAGACTAAAAATATTCATCACTTAAGTCCTACAAAAGCATGGATACAATTGTGTGTTTTAGGCCACCATGATACTTTTTTGGACCACAGTTTGCTAAATATAAATTTTGGAAACGCACTAATATTTTGAACGTTTCAGACTTTGAAAGGATGTTGTAATTTCGATCCCTCGAGATACTGACTCGTGATAAATACATAGTGCATCTTAATTAAAAATTACATTTCATGCGTACGAGATAGGGCTCTGTTAACTAAGAGATATGATGCCATAACTAGGAGATATCAAGTTACTTTGACATGCTCCCCGGTTATCGTATGGGTAAGATCATGAATTGCATATTGCAGGCAAAATCTGCCACCGTATAATAATATATTTTTGTATTTTGCTACATCACTTATGTGAATCAACAATTTCGTTATCACTCGATAAACAGGTTCTAAATTAAAACGAGCGACAAAATGTCGGTGACTTTATTTATATTTTGAGAAAGATTAATAATTTGAAAGTATTTCTGAACGTGTAAGTCATGTAGAAAGCTAATTTTAGCTACTGTCTGATCTTTGCAGGACGCTGTTGAACGTCATGATCTTTAGCGATCTGTCCTAGGGATAAGTCAGCTAGATTGGGAAAGGCATCTTCCAGCAACGAAACATCCAAGTAGTCTAGTGTTCTTAATGTTAATAGTAAATTATATGTCAGTTATTACTATCAACTTGGGACTAGGACGTGATAAGGCAAGCAGTGTTCGTTCTGATGCGGCATATAATTTCGACATAAAGGAAAGCAAAACCTGTTTCCCACATCAAAACCACTTGAAAGCAATGGCTGCATTTTCTCCCAAAACAGATATGTAACAAATGTGACGCCTTGATTGTTTATAACGCTTTTCATATTAGCAGAGGATAAGAAGTTTGGGTGATATTTGATTAAATCTGTTAGGTGACAACTTATTTTAGTTGATGCAGATTTCATTTTAGGTTTAAGACTGAGTAATTGTCTGATGAGAACGCTGGAAAAACATAATATACGTCTCAAAGTTACTTTATTTTCTTATTGCTCAACAGGGACTCTCAGAGGACGCAACACCAATGGTAGAGAACCAATGGGATTTGCTCGTCAAGGCGCGAAACCCTGCATTCCATACTTTATTAACACGTTTCAGTATTTTTTTTAAATAAAAGAATTATTTTAATAAATCATTTTAATTTTATTATAAGTGCTCTTTGAAGGTGGTTGAAAAATAATCGACATTGTCTTTTGTTGAAACTGACATATTAAGACTGGGGCTACATTATGATTTGATTTGAGAAAGCGCCAATGGCGTAGTTGTTAAAGTGTCTGCCTCGAATGCGGGAGGTCGCGGGTTCGAACCCCGGCCGGACCATACTTAATACTTTAAAAATGGTACGAACAGCTGCCTCGCTTGTCGGTCAGCATTAAAATGTCAGTGTTAGGACTGGTCTGCCTGGTGTCAGGATAATGTGACTGGGTGGGACATCATGCCACATGTCTGCGTCATAATGCCACAATGCTAGACATCACTATAAGCTGTCACAGTGCAGACATCGTAGCGATATGACTGAAAAATGGTTAAAGCTACGTTAAAAATCTAAATCACACACACACACACAGACACACACATGATTTGATTTGCTGAAACATGTTAGCACGTTCTTGTGATAAGGGGACAGAGCCAAGCGAGGGAAGGTAACCGGCCCTAGACAAGAGAAGTAAATATAGCATTGTTGATAGAGACGAGAAACTGAGTGCACATGAACTACACTACAATTATCTGTGTGGTGTTTACGATTATATGCCACGATGATCTTTTTGCCCGATTGTTTATATTTGATACTAGTACGTGACCAGCAACGTGCTAGTAATCACTTGAAGTCGTTTACATTTTATCTGCCAGCCCGACACTATGGAACCCTGACCATACATTTTCCCTTTTTCGGACATTGCTTTGCTATTTTATACAGGTCTTTGTTTTATTTTTCAACATGAGAGTCACAAATCATATCATACCATTATCCGATCTTTTTTGGTTGCGAGTAAATACAGCTTTATACTTCATTGTGTAGACAAACACTGAGTGCATGACGAATTATTAGATTGGCTGTTAATAAAAGTTCAATTTCTGGCTTTATTTCTTGTTTATCGTGCTGCGCAAGCCAGTGTTGGACAGTTATGAAGTAATGAATCAATAAGGTAATTGATTATTTGAAATATAAACTTTTAACTGCAATCAGTTTCTGAAAAAAAGTTGTCAGTAAACTGGAGTGCTATGATATCGCTTATCTTAAAGTTAGCGATGGAGATATTATATAAGTAAATAAAGTAATTGACCTTCGAGATATTATATATGTCTATTTTAGGATTCTTTGCTCTATATTAACATACGTTCAATCTACAGTTTAAATCGGATAACTGTGGGAAACGATTGATAAACAGACTGAGACCCCGAGTGGCTGAGTGGTTTAAAGCGCTGACCGTTACGGATCACTGCCATCTCACATCTGTCTGCGTGAGTTCGAGTCTACACTCGGCTTAACGTGGGTAAGTGAGAAAGCCTGCCAGTAGCTTCTCGTGGGTCGGTGGTTCTTCCCGGGATTTTCCAGGGTTCTTCCTCCAAAATTAATACTGGCCGCCATGTATAGCCTATCTTGTGCTGAAAAATGGCGTTAAACCCTATAACAACAATATAACAACAACGATAAACAGACTATATGTAGATTCCAGGTTTATTAAAAGGAATGGTTCAATCAAATGTCGCGGTAATACCGAAAAAATATTTATCCTAATGTTGGGAGCTTGATGTATATGCTGCACAAATTATAAATCAAGTTAACACTTGGATTCTGCTTCTGTGGCTCTCACTCTGCCACATTTAATTTCCATCTACAGAAACTGACCTAGTTTGTATTACAACAATCGTTTTGTAACAACTTGTGACCCGTGGGTGGCGCCAAGATGGTCTGTGAGAATGGGCATACGAACATGAACGTGGAAGTATATGTCAAGCACAGACGGTTTAAAAAGTAACTCGTGTTTTACAAAGAAAAGTAATAAATCGTGCCCAACAAAGTTTTTAAGTCAGCACCTGTCAATAGTGAAAACCACCAGAAAACAAAAACATTAACATGCTTCATATTTGGCTCCTATTTATTACCATATATTCGATATCTAGTTTCTTGACAAATATGGTAATGATGTGACCAAACTCTTGCATAAAATCATTGAACATTATAACATGATAAACTGATTAAACAGTTTTTTAAAGTGATATCGATTTTAAGAATAGATAGATTTTATCTAAGAACATGGTGTACGGCCATATTTTGGAAAAGTAAAATTCATGAGGACATTTTCAAAAATATACTCTACAGCACTTCAGACATAATATATATCAAGATATCAATTTTAAAAGAAAGAAACGATAAAAGTAACTTGTATAGAATATATTGCAATTTATAAGTTAGTGAAAGGCTAACCCTCTAAAATTAAGAGAGTGCTTTGATATTGATTTGGATTGTAGGAGAAGCGTGGCCCAATCAATAAGTCATCTCCTGAATAAAATAACACTAACACTGAAATGAATTTAGATTAAGCATTTATTATTGTTCAGCTTTCACTTGGTAATGGAAAAAGCATAATTAATAAGCCAGTTCAATAGTTCACCATTGGATAGAAGCCGAATAATGTTTATCTCCCCATTCAATCAATAAAACCTTATTAAATTGGGTTGTGATCCTGGGAACAAAGTAATTGATAATCACCCTAGGGAATTAATTAAATTAATTAAGTTCACAATGTGAATGACCACTTGCTACCTTACAACAAATAAAATAAAATACATTTATTACAGTTATTTAATTTGAGTGGTGGAAAATGACATTCCTTACAGTTATTGAATAGAAGTGGTGGAAAATGACATTCCTTACAGTTATTGAATTCTTCATAATAAATTGGTGGATGAATAACATGAATACAGGTGTCCAAACACATAATTATGATCCAAGAGGGAGACTCGCACCTGAACCATTACGACCAGCAGACTTCGCCTAATTATTACAACTGCTCGCTCCTGTTGCACTTGTCCGACAGCTATCTACAGACTAAACGCCGTAAGTCCTAACACCATTAGACTTCACTCCGCCCGGCTATGCTACATCAACTCCAGAAGCGACAGCGCCGCCATATTCCAAAGAGAAAACCCAGATTCGAACAACCTCACTCATTTTAGAAACTACAGCAACCAGAAATATCACAACGGAACGAATATGATTACAACTATGAGAGGATCGCAACATAAAATGCATACATCGCCTATGAGAATTGTTTTTCCAGTAATACTTGAGACTACGACATTCCGAATGCATACAGAGTGCGGTTCCAGGCTCAAAAGAGTGTCATGTCTATTTCTTACAGATTCTTGGTACCTTCTCGTAGCCAAAGCATTCCCCACAAAAAGATGTAACCGTATCTACACCATCATAAGTGACACCTTATTCTTATGAATGCTGAACTTTCTACCTTCTCTTAACTAGACACGAGAAGAAGGTTATGATAGAAAACGTCTAAACAACAACAGACTTTTCATATTATAATATATATATATATATATATATATATATATATATATATATATATATATATATATATATATATATATATATATAAGATAAGATAAGATAAGATAAGATAAGATAAGATAAGATAAGATAAGATAAGATAAGATAAGATAAGATAAGATAAGAAACGATAAGATAAAAAAAAGAAAAGATAAGATAAGCATACGATCGATAGGTAGCGTCATGCCAAAACCCCCCACCCTCCCCCCCAAAAAAACGATAACCTTGAACACCGCGATACCAAAAAAACCCGTTTTTACGTAGGAACCTAAAATAATCGTAGCTAATTGAAAATTGTGGAAAAGTTATGCAAAGCAATATTTTCTTTTAAGTTATAACTACTATTTGTCACAATTACAGTTCTCAAACGTACAAAACGAACAACACGATTGGAATAAAGGAGATAAAAAGAGAACGTCTTTAAAAATTGTGAAATTTGTTATTTAATATTGCATATATTGTCTTACGCTGAAATCTTAGTGTGAAGAACACTGTGCTGTGATAAACTTGAACTAACCAATACGAAATGTGAATCTGCGACAGAATAAACAGAAATAATGTAATTGTATTCTAATTATACAGATAAAAGAAGTAGCTGGAATTGATTGTTTCTGTGTCTCAAAGGAATTGTAATTGTAATCAACAACTACAATTTTTTTTTTAAAAAAGTGATTGTACTTTTAATTCATTACGATTCAAACAGTAATCTATACAAATCTGGCGGTAGCTCAGTTGGAATAGCATCGGACTCTTAATGCAAGAGTTACGGATTCAATTCCCGCCCATGTCAGCCTGGGTTGGCTGCCTCGGTTTGTCCTGGAAAAAGTATTTACCCCCCCCCCTCGTGTGCGCTGCATGACATTGGCAGAAACTGGTTAAAAGTGTCATTAAAACCAAAATAAAAAAATCCAACCTTGTTTGGTGTTTAACAGCACATAAACACATGAATGGTCATTTCGTGACGAAGTAGTATGAATCAAGTGCCCAACCTTATTGTAAGGTCAAAATGTTACCTCCATACATTATACTTTTCCAGGTACGGAATTAGGACATGCGTTATCTACAGAAACGTTAAATTGACTAATATCGTATATGCACGCTGTAGGCAAATACATTATCTAAGAATACATTGCCAACATGAATAATTATATACAGCACCAACATCTATCTCTTTCCTGTCTTAACTTAAATGGACTTTTCACGAACTTATATTATTGAATTTGAACATAGAAAATGACACAGAATGATGCAGAATGACATACCTTTCGATACATCGTAACAAGTTATAAACTGTGCATTGGTTACACAATTGTTAAGTGAACGGCAGCAACGTATTAGTATATATTAACAGAAAACTATATATATATATATATATATATATATATATATATATATATATATATATATATATATATATATATATATATATATATATATATATATGAATGTATGCGTGGTTGTGATTAATGGTCTTTTAAAAATTAGAATTGAAAATCATCGCTCCATTCTTATTGTTGTGCATAGCTATCTCCTAAGAGAGCAACACACGTTAAAATCAAATTTAAAATGGTATATTTACTAAGCCTGTAAGATTGAAATAAAGAAAAACAATGTCGCCTGTCAATATTTTACAGTTAGATCGCATTGCATAGCATATTTTGGCGGCGTAGTGTTGATAATAGTATAAGAATTCAGAGTAAAATGTATAGGGTTCGAAACAATGCAGTGGTGACAAATCTAATTCACGTAT